TAAATAAATAAATAGATTAACAATTAATTTATGCTTAAATTGTTTAAGTAATTCGCATATTCACAGTTCGATTTAACAAGGAAATGTTGACTCAAAATAATTGATTGCCGCTGCAAGTGGTGCAAGTGGTGCGAGTGGTGCAGCTGCAGGCAAAGTTGATTTATCACTTCGCTGGCATATTACACTGTGGATAGAGGCTGAGGCAATCCTTTTGGTCCTGGCCGTCGCGCGCCGCTTGGATGAGTCGGTAGAAGCGACGCACTGCCTCATTCGCATGCGTCACGGGCTCCAGTTCGCTCGTCTCTCTGCGCCGCACAAAAGAGCCAAAAATAATTGAAAGGAAAATGGAAAATTGCGTTAATTCAATTAATTTGATAGAGCAGCTGCCCGACTACATGGCAAAACAGTCCGGAACTTGGCTAATTAACTCTGCCGCATTGAAAGTAAACTTTCGCTGGCTATGCCAAAGAAATTTCGCTTTCACTCATACTATGACCCCGTACGTGTCCTCTGTGAGTGTGTGGGTGTGTAGGTGTGTGGGGGTGTGGCTGTGCGTGGCTATCTAACTAAGCCAGCTTTGCCATGCTCTGCTCGTCTTGCTCTCTGCCTCCCGGATACGCTGTGGGCCACTTTAGTTTTGGCTTTGCAGCCTTCCAACAATGCCAAACAACAGAGCACTGCAGGAGCTAATGGGTTTCTCTTCGCCACTGGGTTTCGAATTCATATCCTGCCGAAAGGCAACTAAAATGCTACTTAAAGTGCCTGAAGTACGAGCGTGATGTGAGACGAGCTCACGCACACACACAATGCTCGAAGGGGGTGGGAGCGAGTGAGGGAGGTGGGGCCGAGTCCTGATGTGAATGTCAGTTAACGTTGGCGAAGGAATTTATTTTGAATTTCATTAAAAATAATTCAAAAGACTCTTGCATTTCAATGTCAGCGCAAATTTAAATGCAAAATTTAATGCCTCTTCAGCAGAAATTTGTCTAAGTGTATGCACCTGAGCTGGGAGACTAAGAGAGCAACGGAATGCCAATACATTTTATTTATGGAGCCAATGTCTTGGTTTAAGACGCTTTTTATTTAATTAGTTGAAAGTCTGTTGATTGTGCCATTTTGTTAGTCAGTTGGAAGCCTTAAAGCACTTGGCTCAGCTCCTTCGACTCCTGCTATCTCCTCTCAGAACAGGAGCTAAGCAATAGCTTGAACGACTCTCAAAAGCTATTGCCATTTTAAAACTTATTCTCGTTGTTTCTCGACGTTGGCAGCTATTTTAATTAATTTTCTAGCGGCCCCCATTGTCTTGTCCCCACTGCCCCGACCCGCTGCCCGCCGTGCCCCAACTTCACTCGCGGTTAGAATTTGTTTTCGTCTGAAATTCTGTTTTTTGTTCTTCTTGTTATATGTTGCTTGAATCCCCGAATGCGTCTGATAAGATTATTGAACGCACTTGGGGCATTTAATTAATGATGTGCCATTAACATAAACGTTCATAAATCATACAATGCGCATTCGGCCAGCGCCCACGCGACGCGCCTGGTGGCATGCCACATTGTCGCCCCTGGCACAGGCCAAATTTGAGATTTGCTGTTAAGTGTCAACAAACTTATCAACAAAATTTTACGATCCAAATGCGCGCTCATTGTCTGTGCCATCTGCTGCGTGTAGACATTAATGTTTGTGCAAAACAAAGCCAACTAGAGAAGCCGCAAAAGCAACAGGAGCAGACCACCTAAGGCTGACTGATGTGTAGATACCCTGTACAGTTGGTGTAGTCTGTAAAGTATCTGCAAGTTATTTCACAGAGCTTTAGCTAAGACAGGCTTATGCTCGCTATATTTCTAGATCGATTCGAATAAACTTGGAAACTGATGGAGGCTAAAGATACTCCATATCAATTAGATATTTTACAGATCCTAGACATGTTAACATCGAATGGTATCAACTTAGAAATTGATCGAATATGCATTTCAGATGGCTTACATCAAAAAGTTTTATATTCCAGCTCATGCACTAATTTGAATACCCTATACTATATATTCTTTTGAGCTCTCAGCTTATGTAAAAAGCAAAAGATGAATGCTTTGATAAACAGTTAGACTAGCATGACTCGGCTGTTGATTGCATTATAAGACATAATGAGAAGCTATCAAAACTTTCCTTGGGGAACGAAAAACTGAGTGTCATGCTGTTTACAGGGTATTTGAGAAATATGAATACATTTATCTGGCCTGTGGCACGCATGAGCGCTTTTCAGTTTGCAGTTGACCGTCGGCAGTCAATTATGAAAATGCGTCGCGTTGCGTGTGGGTAGGTGGGAAGGTGGGCTGGGTGGTTCGAGTGGGTGGCTCGAGTGGGTGGCTCATGTTGACGCGCGCTTTGATGCCGCAACGTGGGCTTTCCACATGGCTGCCCAAGTGCAGTGCACACTGCAGTGCATTGCTCGCTGCTTGCAGCACGCTTAGCTGAAGAGGTGAGAAGACAGAGCAGAAGATGAAGCGTGCTGTGACAAATGTTGCACGCAACTATGCGAGCAGAGGGCGCGGGGAAGGGGATGCGAGCGCTTTCTTTGTTCACGCCCATTGATTGAAAAGTTTTTCGTCTAAAGTTTTCACCTCGGGCTAGAGAGAACACATTAGTATAACCTGGCAAACCCATGAATGACATTTTGACTGGTCGACATTACAATTTGTTGCGCGCGACTCAAACTATTAGAGCACGAAATCCCATTTATAACACTTGACGCTTTAATAGAGCTGACAGCATTGCAGCCAGCTAAGCCAAGTTGAATGCCCAAACTGACATCTGCTCTAATTGAACCCTCTATACGCACCGACTGAGCTCCGCGGATATGAAATTACTGTGCGGGCTATATGTGGCCGGGTCCTTGTACATGCTGCACACGACGCGCTCCTTGCACAGGTCGCTCTTGATGCCCATTTGCTCGATGATTTTGTCGATCTTTAGCAGTATGGGACTGTAGAATGGATCGTAGTTCAGCGGGTACAGTGGCTGCAAAAAATAAATTGAAAGTTTCAACTCGTTCGACTGCTGCGTGTGTCCACTATCAAACCTGTCCATCCTGCACGAAAGGCTGATGCTCCAGAATTTGYTGCTGCTGCTGTATCAGTCGCTTCTCAGCCTGAATGCGTATGGCCTCCTTCAGCTGGGCAGCCAGTTCGGGCTGCAGACGAAACGAGGGGTAGGCCAGAGAGATAGTTTAGTAATAAAAGAGATGTTAAAAATAATCATATTTTAGCTAAATGTAGTAATTAAAAATTGTAGAGAGAAACTTGAAATTGCTTGCTCCAATATGTGGAAATGGCAGAGAGAATCATGAAAAAGTATGATTGGTGATCAGCTTATAATCTATGGCTCATCTACTAAGGCTAACACTTATAATATATTTTACAAACTTTTCGCAGCTAATTCACTCTCAAGTAATATAAGCTGACATACAGAGAGAACCTTGAAAAAGTATAATTCTGCTCCGCCTATATATAGAGATATTAAATTCATCCCACAGCCAGAAATTATAATTTATTTATTAAAATTTAATAAAATTTATATTTATGGTAATTAACAGCAGAGAGAAACTTGAGCAGCTCTCTTTGCTGACAAGCTTATATATCTAGTATTTTATGCTACAGCTAAAGACCGTCATTTAATTTAAAAAGTTTCGTTAGCTTAAAAATAAATACACATGCAGAGAGAAACTTGAGAAGCCTAAATGCATATTTTACAGCAAATGTAAGTACACAAATATTAAATACGAGCCATGTCTCTCAGCATTTAATGTCTTTTAGTCATGAAAGTCAAAAATCTATAGCTCAACTTAACTAAAGTTTCAGACAGCTTGAGTACAGGGTGTATCCCGCTAGTACTAAATACAGTGCAAGTTGCATTTAATAACATGGCCGGCAGCATAACTCAATTAGCGCCCCACGAACTGGACGGTCGGGTATTTGCAAAAGCGTTGGCATACTTTCCCAACGCACTGTCGCCAACAGTTGGATGCACTGTTGCCCCGTGGAGACTTTTCTGTTGGCCTTTCGAAATGTGCACTCATTTCATTAGGCCGCAACGGCGCTGGATTTTGCAATTTAGCTCGATGCTGGGCCCTGTTAGAGTGCAATTTAATTATGGCCAAGTTAAGTGGGCCCGGTGTGGCCCGCATGAAGACACTTGAAAGTGAAAACTGTCGGTGACCCAGTGCAGCTAAGCTAAATATGTGCACAGCACTTGAGCGTCGCACGACAATGCAATTTGCAAAGAGACACTAAACAGGGTCAGCCCGAACGCTAGAGCCTCAGAGACAAGGCACAATGTAAACCTTTGCAACTGAGAAAAACTATCCACGCCTCAGAGCCAAAGTGTGCTAAATTGTCAATAAACACTTGAGGCCCATGCGGCAGTCTAGACGTCGCACTTGTTCAGAAGTGAAACTGCAGTCGCTTGATTGATTATGTTGTCCCACGGCTGTACGACCCCGTCCCCTCTGCCGACCCAGCCAGCCCACTAATCAGACAGCTCGACGACTGCGGAGTGTGAAAGGAAAGCCATTCCTCAATCATCTTCACACAGCACAGTAATTATGCATTTTAAGCCTGACGTTAATATATGTATACTCGACACTAGAGCCCAGGGTATTAACTATAAGAAATTAAGGGACTTGCGAACAAAAACTATAAATAGACTTTGTAAGTTTAGTACAACATGAGCAAATTATTAATTGGATACGCTGTCAGTCTGAATATCTGTAAATCCTTAAGCTGCCTGTTGAAATGTTTGAAGTAAATGAATGCATGAATAGTTAATGAGCATTTATCAGCTTATAACTAAAGCATTAATGTCTAATTCTCTTCACCATATTAGTTTGAGTGTATTTGCATTATTTTGTACTTTTATTCTACGAATATGATTAGTAGAAGCTATGTACAGTTATGTCTACCGATGCTAATTGAAGTATTATACAGATAGAATACATATACATATTAAATATTCAAAATATACAATAATATTTTACATAAACTAAATAGTTTCTAAGTACTGTGTAATTTATTCAATTTATATCCCATATATCCCACTCAGCAGTTAACGCCTCCAACCAAACAACTCCGATGTCACCATGCCATTAGATGCCAGGACCCCATCACCCTACAAAACTCTCCCCTATCCTCGAGTACCCACTCTATAAGCACCAATGACACTACCAGCCACATCCCTTAACTCTTCACTAATCTCCTACTCAAAGTAGAAATCATGAACTCCTTAACTGCGGGAACATGAACATAGAGACACTTTAGGGCATATACTTAAGTCTTGCTAACGTTGTTCACGTAGTCTGGCTTATGCATTCAAAATTTACTTAATATATACAAATATTTTTGTATATACCAAAACTAAAATTTTATGAATGCAATTTTCATATGAAGTATATATATAACAACTACATAAATAAGAAATATACTAACGAAATCTCTCTTTTTTATCATATGTATAAAAATTATTATTATTAAATATAAGCTGTGAAGTCGAAGGTCCCAGTAGCACTGATTAAATTTAAATTAGTTTAAATTCTACATAGCCTCTAACCTTATAATAAATATATAAATAATATATATCGCTATATCAAAAATTAAAAAATATGTATTTCTTCTATATTTTACTATAAAATCATATCAAATATGCAGCTCAGTCATTTTCATGGCGTATAATCATCAAAATATTCTGTATCAAAATACTATAAGCGTTCTCTATTCTATTCTTTCTATAGCTATAAGAAAGAAAAACCTGCTCACCTATGCACACTATTCACTTGAAGCTATACAAGACAAACCATCAGCTCATTAAAGATTAAATTATATGGATACCTATATCTGCATATTCTAGGGTATCTCTGGTACGACTAACCAAACATATATTGTATTTATTCCGTGGCATGTCGAATTGGCATGTGGCATAGTTTATAGAACAATTTGCAACACACATATCTATCACAGTCAGCTTAGGATTTAATTAACTCTGCTGCCACATGCTGTGGCCAGGCTCTGCTCACCGAAAGTTGTTGTTGTTGCTGTTGTTGTGGTTGGTTATTGTTGCGTGCTGGCTCGTATTGAGCGGCAATTTGAGCGGCGGCTGTGAGGCTCGGTCCATGTCCGTGTCCGTGTCCTGGACCCGGTCCTGGTCCAGGTCCAACTCCTGCTCCAGCGCCTGGCGCCGCGACATAAACCGGATTGTGCTGTGCAAACGCCGGCCTTGAACTGCAAATGGCCGTCAAAAATGGAAATGCGTGTGTAAATGCAAATTGTTTAACAATTTGTTATTGTTGTCATTGTTGTTTACATTGAAAGTCAATTTCAACAAATTTGTATTTGCATTCGGCATGTATTAGTGTTGTGTTTAGTGTTAACAATCGTTGGCATTATAGTGTTTATACGGTTAGGCAGGCTGTGCGTGTGTGAGTGAGTGCGTGCGTGGGTGCGTGCGTGTGGGTGTGTGCGTTACTTGGGCATTTTATACCTTTGTTTGTCCAGATTGTGAAATTTGTTTAAACTGTGACTAGAGGCTTGTGCTTTTTGTTGAAAACTAATTTGTTGCTGTTGCTGTTGCTGGTTGTTCTGCCAACGTTGTTGCTGCTGCTGCTGCTGCTGCTGCTGCTGCTGGTGCGGCGATGGCTGCTTTGTGTATGGCTGCGTGGTGCCCAGACCCCAGGACTGCAGCTCATTTGCATCGTTGGCCGTGTGCGGCTTAAAGTAATTCGCATTATCCCCCACTTGTGCATCACGTTTCATAGCGCTTATGTATCTGAGCGTGTTGAACAGTGTGTCAAATGTGATGAGAGGTGCGTGTAAGTGTGTGTGTGTGAGTGTGTGTGTGTGTTGAATTATTATAGACAGACATTTAACAAAGTTAAGACACACAAAATACTTGTCTAGATCCAACTTACTCAGAGCCTAGTCCGGGTCCGCTGTTCTCCCAGGCGCCTTCGAAGTGCTCGTGCCCTGGCCCGGGGCCGTAGATCTCGTGGACAGGCGCGCCGTGCAGATACGCGGAGGGATGTCCCTTGGGCGGGTGCGTGTAAATGATTTCTGGCACACTATGATGCTCACCACTGTGCCAGGGCGGCACCACCTGCGGCAGACAGAAAGAGAGAGGGAGAGGGGCAGTGAGTAAGAGAGATGGGCATGAAATTAAAGTCAGGTCTTAAATTGTTGTAAAGCTCCCCTCATTACGTTACATTACAGTTATTTTGAGCAAATTTATACGGCATTTTTCGACGTTTTTTCTGGTATTTCATTTCGGTTTGCCTTTGTGTTTTGGTTACTATTTATAGCCTCGCCCTCGAACAGATGCGCATTATTTTGGTTCGACGAGTGCTCGAGTTTGATTTCGGTCCAGTTCAATGACTTTTAAATTGTCGTAAACAACGAATCTGCGCCCGGTTGCCGAGAAATGTGACCAAATAGCAGCCATTGCCAGACAGACAGAGCACGGTTCAATATCTTTTTCCATGAATTGAGTATTGTTGCTTTTCAATATCCTCGATACCCAAGTGACTCGATAGCTAGCTCTGACACGGCTAAGCGTTTATGAGTATGGCTATAATGTCCAACAATTCAGTTTTCTTGTTTAGTACACGAGTCTGAGAAATTGTATGGAAATAATGTAATAATAATGAGCCCCCTTCTGGCGAGGCAAAAGGAAGTCTCGACTCAATCTAGATATTTCAAGTTCAAGCACCACAAATGCTATTCTATGGAATACCTTTTTAAGGATGTTCCACAAGACTTAATGAACCAAAACTCAGCTTCTACTTCTGGGAATGCTAATATTTAATTCTTCAGCTAAATTCAAGCGTCTCGCACTTAGGCATTGAATTTCTGTCTTTGACACACAAGATCTTATTCAATCTAATATATGTGTATATATGTATATGTATATTAATGGAGTGAATGCTGTCATTACTCAAATTGCTTTAAGTAGCATCTGCTGGCCCGGCGCTTGCTTCTTTCACCTGCTGGTTTACATATGCAGCTCGATTTCGCCGTAATTTGTGTCTCCTGTGTGGCTCCTTAAAGGACGAAACTTTCGCCAGCTCCAGACACACAAAAAGAAAAAGAAAAGAGAGAAGAGGCGAGCAAGTAAACCAGAGAACAGAGAAGAAAAATGGTGACAATTTTTGGCACATCTCCAGCAGATGACAGGCGCCTCGAATTACGCCAGACAAACTTGGAGCGCAAAAGTAAAGTTACAATATATATGAGCTCTGTAATACATTGAGGGGGACATAATTTAATTTATGAATACCAAGATTTGCGCCCTCTTGTGTACTGCGCGCTGGCTTAAAGCTGCCACAGCAAAGCTTAAGGAAATGTTTACCTAGTTTAATTTACTCGACACAGGCAAAATGAAGTTGTGGTAGATAATTTAAGATTTGATAAGGCATTGAGAGACAAACTGTTTGAGGACTTAAATATGCTGTGAACACGTTGTAGATCTAAATGCGGCAAGTTAGTTTATTCAAATTTGTCTTTTAAAACAACTTGAGCTGCCAAAAAAATATTTGAAAAATTAAATATTCTAAGTATTCCATGGGAAAATCCACAGAGAAAACTCAACTTCAATTGACTAAGCCTAGGCCAGGCTAGGCCGTGTGTTAGATTAGCAGACGAACGACAAACGAAATGCTTTTAAAGTGCTTTAGCTGAGCATCGAGGTAAAGTCGAATTATCATTTAATAAATTGGAAAATCTTCTGCTCAAGTTGCATGCCAATCAGAATTAGACAGAGTCTGCCATGCTGGAGACCAGTTTGAGCCATTAAAACAGAATTCGCAGACTGTCGAAGCTCGCTTAGCCAAAGTTATGACTCGTTTTGGCTCATCAAAACGCGAAGACGCACAAATGGGCAGTTCATAAAGGCGAAAGCAATTGCTGAATTCAAATTGAACCCAGACGGGTTCAAAAAACGCAGCGCACCCATGTTTATCCTAAAGACGCATGTGAAATGTGTGCCAATGGCTCATCCAATTATCTAGGCTCAATCTCATATATTTGCATGTGGGCGTGTGGGTGTGTGGGTGTGTGGGTGTGTGTATATGGGGTGTCGATGTGTACAAATGTCTGCCAGTGAGTGGAACTCTAATCCTTGCCAGTGACAAACATTCATTTGAGCTGTGAATGAAAAACAGGATTCCATTTGATGAAATGTCAAGCAGTTATCTCTATGGCATTAGCGATGTATGAGCGTGTGTGTATGTACGTGTGTGTCTGAGTGCGGCACATCTTTAAGTTAAAAGCAGCACGTGTCTGAGTTTTCTTGGCGTTTTTGCTAGCCCAAATTCAATTAGATAAATTTCAGCATCCGTACATTAGACATTGAAGTCTGTCATGTATTTGTTTAATTGCCTTTGAAGAGCGATTCGTGAGCTTTTTCTTATTAATAAAATTAACAAGAATAACGAAGAAAAAAGTGGGCGTGTTAGGCATAATAAATAAGCTAAATGACATAGAAATCCGAAAAAGAAATTGTGTTATTTTTTCGAGATTTCAATGAAATTCCACACAAAGCCGAAGACAAAAGAAAAAAAATGTTGGAATAATAAGAAATTAAAGATTGAGAGAGAGAGAGACAAAGAGAGAGAAAGAAAGAGAGACAAAGAGAGAGAGAGAGGGGAATTAACTTACTTCTCTTTCGAGTACTTACCGTATGATGATGATTGATCAGATGATGATGATGATGATATTTGGTGCCATGATAGGACTGTTGATAATACGAGCAGAGCTTGAAGAGATGCGACAGCGCGGGGAAGAGGAAGAGCAGGAACTTGAGCAGCAGCTTCTTGGCAGCCCCCACGCCAATCACAATGGGCAGCAGCCAGAACAACTTGATCTTTATGATCTTGATGATCAGCACCAAGGCAATGAACGACAGCAGCAGTTTGTTGCGCAGAAATTTGTCTACGGAAACGAAAGTTGCACTTGATGAATAAATTTGTATTTCATTTATTTTGTTTTTTGTTTTTTCCTCAACTGGATGCACACTTTCTGCAGCCGTCCAGTTTGGCAAGTTTTGAGCTGCAGTTGTGTTACTTACTGATCTTCTTCTTGATCATGGCACCAGCCAGTCGGGCCTTGACCAGCTGCTTGGGTATTAGCTCCAGTTTGGCAATGATTCCGTTGCCTTCGATGGAGCGCGGCGAGATGCGAAATGTGGCTCCATTGAACACGATCTCGGGCAGATCTAGCTCCATATCGTGTGTCATTGCGAATTTGATTGTTTTGCCATAGAGCGCATTGGAGACTTCCTCGATGGGGGTTTCCGGACTGGCTGCAGGAAACCAAGAAATATGAAAGAGGAAAGTGTGTTGAGTGAAAATCGAAACGGACTACATTTAACTGACAGTTCTATGCTAATGAAAGTTGAAATGGAAGTTGAAACTGGTCAGGTATACGAAATACCGGAGCTTGCATAACACTTAATGTACGTTTATTGATATTGCATTAGCCAAAGAAATCAGAAATCAGAAAACAGAAACCTGAATACCGAATACCGAAGACAACGAAATCAGCTGCTGCGAGCCGTGACTCACATTGAATGCGACTCGCATTTGTTGCCACTCAAACTCAAAATACGTAAAAATCAAATCAAAATGCGCCAAGTGAAAGTTGTGAGTGTGAACGTGCCAAGAAAAATGGTAAACAAAACTCAGGCAAAGAATCGAATGCCGTACGAGATGTGAAAACGTTTCACAAACACCACAAAAAAGCCAATGAAGAAGAGAAGAAGAGAAAAAATACCCAACTCAATGAAAGCGAAATGAGCCAAGGGCTCTTACATAATACACTCGTAGATGCTCTAATGTTAGAGCATTCAATTAATTAGGAATTGCGAGCAATGAGCTAAGCATCCAATTGTTAGTATTACAAGGGCTATTGAATTAAGATGGAACATATGTCTATTGCAATATTTTTGAATTAGGTAGCCATGGAAACTATAGACTCGTAGGCTTCATTTCTATGATGTTGACTGACTGATAGACATGTAATAATTGGCACGTGTAGAAATGTCTTGTCTCATACGATATCGATATTTGTGGTAATGAGTAAGGTATATTAAGGCTGAGAAAAATATATCGACAGACAAAGCTTGTTTAAAATTGATCAGATTTAGGGCTTTTTGAAAGTTATTCAAATAAATTTGTAGTTGAAAATGTAAAGAGAACGATTTCAGCGCAGTTTGCAGTCTGAGAATAGATTGGGACTAGTAAAAGAAAGAGATTAGTATGAAAATTATTCAGGAGTAACCTCCTCTCATTTCCCGTCATCATTTCTCATTTTCTTTACTGTAGAAGCAATGAATATAAAATATCATACACCTGTCTCATATGTGTCATGTGTCTCATCAAGATTATATAGAGGCTAGCTAGTCCCAGTTTCTCTCGAGTTTCAACTCCTACAGTTTACCTACATGGCAACAAAATTTACTAAGAACCAATAAACTCTTTTTACGGTGCAAACAAGCGTATGTTTGTATATGGATGTGTATGTGTTAGCATTTGCGCTTAGTGCAATGTTACCTAAACTCTTACCGGAACGCGCCTCGTTGGTGGCCTCCTCCTTCTCCTGCTCCGCATTGTACTGCACCTGATTCCTGTAGAACTTCAGGCGCTGCGTTATATTTACATCCTGTATGTCCAGGGCGCTATCCAAATAGCTGTACACGTTCTTCTGGAAGCAGGACATATCCGGCTTCAGGTAGCACTCGCGTATGAGTCCATCCCAGAGCTCATTTCCGCTGGAAAACCTGCGCGCAATGCGCAGCAGCAGCGAATCGTTGCCATTAGGATGCTTTCTGGTGGTTGGCGCTCGAGTGGCATTCACAATGGGCCGCCAATCCTCAGTGGTCAGGGCACTTGGTGTGAATGTTGATGCTGCTGCAGTTGGTGCAGCTGCAGATTCTGGAGGTGTTCCTGTTGCTGTTGTTGTGGCTGTCTCTGTGGTGACATCAGGTGTTAAAGGTGTCGTGGACAGTCCGCTTTCATTCGCCTTTGCGACGCTGAGGCAGAGGAGCGCGGAGGAGAGCAGCAAGAGCCAATGCAGCCAGTTGCTGCACTTATTGGCCATGTTTGAGTGATTTCTAATGCGATGCTTTGATGTTGATTTTGTTGTTGAGGATGTGCACGGGCTCTCACCCGTTGGCCAATTACGGTGTCTGCTGCTAAGTGCAGACTCTTGCATTTTCAATTTCAAACAATTTACACCTGGAGCCACAGCAGTCGGCGCTGTCCGGGACTATTTATCTAGACCCGATTGAGCTGCGGCACACTAACTGGGCCAAGGGGCAGCTCAATTACAGCCAAACAATCGGCGATTGTTGTCGGTTTTGTTGCCTCGCACAAAAACCGATTAGCACGCAAACACAATTTCAGCAATTGATGTGGCTTTTTTTCGTATTGTAAAATATATTATTGATTTTCACAAATTCTTTTGGCAGTGCGTAGCGCGCGCAACTTGGCTTTCTTTTCTTTTTTTTTTTTTTTTTTTTTTTTTACTATTTTACTCTTCGTTGATATTTTGGTCGCGTTGTTTGCAATTTCGCTGCAGCATTTAGCACATTTTCTATTCGAGTAAACAGACAGACATTCGAAATGCCAACGGACAGCTTAACAATGTTGTTGTTAGCTGCAATTACTTCATCTGTGCGCGAGACACGCCCACGGAGTAACGGTTGCTTCTTCAGTTTATATCAACGGCGTGCGCATGCTTACGCGTCTGACCGACAACTGACTCGGTCGCTCTCAATGCCAGTCAAGATCATGGCGAGGCCAAGCTGCCGGTTAGCTGTCTCTCTATGCTTAGCGCTCTCTCTCTCTCTCTCTCTCTCTCTCTCTCTCTCTCCTACTCTCTCAGCTTTCGTTGAGTTTACGCGCTTCGTTCAGTTTGTGCATTGCACTGACTGCGTCGGCTGGGTAGTTTCTGCTGCTGCTGCCGCTTCGGTCGCACGCGGAATCATCCAGTTGAAATTCTTCCGCAGCGTTAACTGTAGTCGCTGCTCTTCGCTGTCGATAACTTCGCTGTTGTTGTTGTTGTTGAGGTTGCTGTTGGTTGAAAGTTGTTTGTGCTTTGTTTACGTTTTCCAGTTAGTTGTGATTGTTTTAAGAGCAGTTTGTCTGCTTATTATATCTTGCTGGCTGCGCTTTTCACGGCTTTTTCAGATTCGCCTGGAACGAGTTTTTCTCCTGCAAAGGCAAAAGAGTTTTGTAAGCGGTTTGACTTTTCGTATACGATATGCATCGTTTGCAATTATAGGCCACTATGTCAGGGTTGCTTCTTATCAATTTACATAGCTAACGGAAATTGTGATGGAATTGTGTGTTATAATCAAATATGGAAAACAAAATCATCAAATGGAATTTCAATTAAGCTTTTATTTATAAGAAGTCATTTAAGTAGACTTCATTTAAATAAGAAATAAATAAAGATTCTAGTTTGTTATTATGTTAATTGTTTTTAGGAATTATAATAGCGAATACCGTTATTATGTGAAATCTTAATTAACTTGTGTTAGGTATAGAATGGGAAATGTCCAAATACATATGAATTAAATTTTATCTCGAATAATATTATATATTATGATATATCTTATATGAATTTTACGACAACTTTTCTTCTTTAGAGAAAAAATCATGGTGTATACTTAATATACAAGTACTTGATATGTAAACACCAAAACATTCAAATATAATTCAACTTTAAGACAAGACAAGAGTAATTGAACTTTTGCCGAGGGCACAAATGCCACGCCCTCTTCATATATTATTGATATAGCCAACGCCTAATGTCATACTGTAATCTACCGAATGTGGCCTAATTACGCACCGGCTAATGTCCTCTGCGTACCCAGTCGTGAGCACACGAGCACAGACAATCACAGATTTACATACATACATACGTAARCTGAGCTGGCTTGATGTAACAGACTGGGCCATTTATAGCGTCTAGTATAAGAAAATCAATTAGATTAAATTACGAACACAGCTGCCGCTGCTGGGGCTTATTATGAGCAATGCGAATTATGAATGTGTTTTTTAATGAGCTCGCTTGTTGTGTGGCAGCGGCCGCGGTTGAGACTGCTGCTGAGACTGCGGCTGCGGCTGAGACTGCGACTGCGACTGCGACTACGGGTCGTATGAGCTATGCGCGTTATCAGCGTCATATGCTTGAAGCGGCAGCTGTGATTGCGTTTATATCTTTTCATATTAAATACACATATTCTTTACAAGCGACCGTGTTGCCTTATGCAATCAAATGCGAAATGGCCATAAAGCATTTCAAACAAAACTGTCATCAAAATAATGGCCAGCAAAACAAGTTTTGGCAACGAACAGAACTCAAGTTAGGTGTTACGTATGATAGGGTCTGTTGCATGATTTGTAGTTTCCAGTTCGTTTTGGGCTAGCGGCTAACGGTCGGCGGTCTTAGCCGAGAGCGGTCACAGTTCAGAGTTCAAGAGATAACTAGAACATTGCGTGAGTTTTCGCTCTTAGCAATTAAAGCGTACACCAAATTTTCTGTGTTTTGGTTATATAATAGCCCACATGTTAGTTCAGCTGGACTATTAATTGATGTTGGCTCTTATGCTTTCACTGGATGAAAATGATTACTCTGGCATAATGATTTCATTAAATCTTTCTTAATGACACTTGGCTGGAAAAGTGGCCAAAATGCTGTGTGGCATATTTATAATTCGGTAACAAGCTTTCGCTGTCACAGACAACGTTTTCAGTCAGAGATTTTATTGCATTTTTATGTGACAATTTTGTATTAAGGTATTTTTTCTTTTTTTGTCGAGCAGACGATGGTACAACACAAATGTGAAGTAGATGCGGGTATCTGGTTAACAGATACCCCGTTTTCAGCATAGTCTTACTGTTACGTATTGCGAATAACAAATCTAGTTCGGTATTAGGCAACAACTCAGCTCTACTCTGTTGCCAGTGTCACGGTAGACGTGGTAATATAATTTTTAAATTACAAAATTCTCTCGATAATTCCTTGCAATAAGTACCCAAAACAAGAATTTATTAAAAAGGGAAAAGCAGGGAGAAAGGTACTGGACGATGCAGAGAAGGACTAGAAACAGATTGAGAGAGAGAGAGAGAAACAAAAATAGAGAGAATGAGAATAATATTCAAGGAGAGAGATGTAGAGATGGGTAAAATGTATGATAGAGAGTAATAGAGAGAGATAGAAAGTGGATGAGTAGAGTAGTCCATATAATGTATATGTATATAAATGTAATGAAAGCTAGTAGCAAAAATAAAGAGAAAGAGTGTTTATGTGTATGTATGTGTGAGAGAGAGAGAGAGAGAGAAATTACCATGCCTTCATAAAATTCAAATACAGAAGGACTAGCATAAATAGAGAGGGAGTGAGAGAGGAGAAGAGAGTTCGAATAGCTGCCTAATCGATTACCTGATTAACATAGTTATTGAGTGATTGTGTGACTGACTAATCAACTGATTGAGTTACAAGCTGCCTAAGCACTGATTGTATTCGATGATTGTCCCATAAATTTAATTAACTCAAGTGTGCATTCCACATCCAACAAATATTCAAATATATGTAGTACTACATATATGTAAATCACAGCCCACTTCACCAATCTCCTGTTTGAACAGGGTATACCGGCAAGAGAAGCAGGGAAAGAATTTGCATGTCGGTGCCATGTCGAGGCTGACTTAACTAGTTTTATTGCTCTGTTGCATAAATACTCTGGTAAATTATAAAATTCCTTTTAAATTATGTTTTGCATCATCTTGTAATCGTGTTGAGTCAAAACTGTGCATTAAGTATTGGCTTAAACACTTGCCAACTTTCAGTTTTAGCGCTTGTATCTAATAGATACTTAATTTCACTTTGTGCGTGTATCTTTCGGTCTGCTTTCAGTCCGTATCTCTCTTTGTCTGTCTGGCTGTCTATCTATTTATTTTTTTCTTAAGTTTTGTTTTTGTTTGTTTGTTTTTTTTTTTTTTTTTTTTTTCATTTTTTTGTGCCTGTGGCAATTTGTAAACCGATCGCGTCTAGCGTGCAAATATTTTTATAAACTGTAACTTAGTCATTTTTTTCTTAGTTAAGAG